GGTTTCAAATATACATTGTGTACCACACTATCCTCTCAAAACGATAGTATGTAAACTTCCCATAAGCCGGTGAGTTGAAGAGTGTAATGTTACTTAAGAGGCTGAGATTTAATTGGCATTTTTCTATTTTATAACAATCATTGGTTGCTATGTTTTTTTTTTATCCTAGAGACAAGGCGGTGAACAGGTGTCTTCCAGTCACGACTCAGCTTTTCCTATAGCGGCCGTAGCAGTTGGTGTCTGGGCAGAATTCCCCGATTTTGGGGACCTCTTGTTGGCGCACTTCCATTTAGCGTGTCCATATTTGGTGCCGTATTATATACCGAAAAAAGATGGTCAGTCAGAAGAAGATTATTACAAGTATGTACGATATTCATTTTGTAGTTCTATACTGTGAATGAGCTATGTAGATGAACTTTCTTAGTTCAAATGAATGTGTTAGTGTGTTTTTTATTTTCTCCAGTCTACAGTTGTATACGGTTATATACATTGTAATGTGTCTTTACTTTTTGTCAGTCTGAAAAATCATTTTTGTGTTCTTGTTCACCATCGCAAATTTGAGGTGATTCTCGGATATCACCCATCATGATTTTTCAGGTTTCACATGGCTGGTATCAGTATTCCTACTTCAGTAGAGATTTCAGTGAAATTTGTAAAGCTTTCAGAATGCATTTTTTTTTTTTGCATTTCTTGCAGAGACCTAGGCTACAGTGTGGCAGATGGGAATATTGAGAAACAAGCACATTTTCTGAAAAGAATGACCGGGATATGTCGGCTATACGCTGCTATATTACAACAACCATCGCCAAAAGAACCCAGGCATGTAAGTATCAATGTGTTTAATCTCAATAACATAAGGTTTCATAATCTCCAGTGAATTAAAGTTACTTTATTGCTTTTCACATTAGGTGAGAGATACTATTGCTATAGGTTGACATACCTGGGGATTGATAAAGGGTACTTAACTCGGTGTTTCTAAACAAGTTCAATTGCACATATTCTTGTCGTTTATTAATTTTGATGTGTGGCACTAGTCGGAATCTACATCCATTGTCTGTTGTTAAAACCTTGTCAGGGGTTTCAATAAGAGCCGACCACTGGCCATATGGTCGGCTACAAGCCCAAATTAACCATCTACCAGGTACTATCTGGTCTCCCATTCCCTCGACCACCTATGCCGGCCTTGCTTCGCACTGCAGAGAGCCTTTTTACCTTGCCCGTACCATCAAAGATGGAAGGGAAAGGTATATTAAGGGAAAAATTGTGTCTGGCGTTGTCGTTGTTGTTGTCGTTGTCGTCGTCGTCGTCGTCGTTAATAATAGTTATTGTGTGCATAATAACTTTACTAATTCTATTCCAAACTTTATCAAACTTGGTCACCTTATTCATCAGTATAAAGTCTTCCCTGAGTTTGAACAACAGATGTCCTGTATGAAAATATCATGCAAAAATTGAGAAAATCTGATAAAATATTTTGACTGTTTCTTCTTGACTGATCACTGGTGATACACATCAAAGGTCACTGATCTCAGTGGAAATATGCATTGTTGTATGTGTTCAATGAAGCAAATGATTTATCTTGTAATAATATCCTTGGTAATGTATCTCAGAATCCCATACTGGGTTTCAAAACCAATTCATGGAGAGATTGCACAGTCTGATACACATTTGCAAACCTACCAATAAAATCTTTACAGAAAACAAGATGTCAGAAAATCAATATAAGCACTCCTATGAACTGGGTGCCTAACTTTGATCAAGATCTGAAGCTAATAGAAAATCTTTTTAGTTCAAGTTATCAAATCAAAAACATACATACAAATACATTAAAGCAAACATTTCATCCACATTTTAAAAGAAATTATTCTAAA